TCCTCACACACACAGAGAGAGAGAGAGAGAGAGAGAGAGAGAGAGAGAGAGAGAGAGAGAGAGAGAGAGAGAGAGAGAGAGAGAGAACAGGACCTTGATGCTGCCCGTTTGTTGCATTGGCACCTTTGTTTTGCCCTCCCATAGCATCAAGTTCTTCTCCTGATGCATTCCCCTGTGCATCCCACATTTACCAATTCTCAAACAATGGGCTGCTATGCTGTGCAGATGGAAGCGATGAAAGCAGCAAACAAGGAGCTGAAAGGCCAGTACAAGCACCTAAAGATAGAAGATGTGGAGGTGAGTTGCTTGATCTGTGCCAACCCTTCTGTAGCCGGCTGCAGCTTGTCCGAAGTCTGTGGCAACCATCTGACCTGCAGTGAGTGGACTGTGGGGCTCAAACCTTTGGTTATGGAGCTGCCAATATATATGTTAATGTTTTTACTGCAATCACAATCTGTGTGTGCGTGTGTGTGTGTGTGTGTGTGTGTGTGTGTGTGTGCGCGCGCGCACACGCGCTACCCTTCGAAACCTCGGTAGAGTCAGCACCCATTGTCCTACAGCATACTTTGTCCTGTTGAGCTGCGTTATCATGGAGCGACAGACTCGGCCTACGAAGGGATGAACAGGAGGCCAAATGAAATGAATACCTCCTTGGGGTGGTTTTTAAAGGACCTGAACGCTACGCCCATGTAACTGTTTAATAAACAGGTCATCAGTTCAAGTCCTGTTATAAATTTTATGGAGTACCCCCTACATAAAAATTTAAAACATGCAGAATGCCACAGTTCTGCATGTTTACAATTCACATCAGGTGGAGCGCACGTGTAACTGTTCATAAACAGGTGTGAGTTCGATTCCCGGTCGATTGAGATGCATATATTTAATTATATTTAATTATATTTATTATTTAATTGTATTTAATTATATTTAATAGATTGAGTTATATTGAGTTATATTGAATTATATTGAATTTGCAAGGAAGATGAGCAATAGCGAACTTCAGCAATCAAACAGCATCATACATATGCGACCAGATAGTCGTGACCTCGAACCAACAGCAGAATTGCATCACGAGTTTCACCAAATAAGAACACACCAAGAGTTCATAATTGACAATGCTGAAATAGTCCCATCATCATCATCAACGAAGAACCAAAGTTGATATCCTATCTAGCGCTCAGCGCCCAGAATGCATATGGCAGATCCTATCTAGCCTATACTAGGATGCCGAAGTTGACGACAACAGCTCTCCCGAAGTACGAGCAGATAGCGGCCAATGCCGCACGCTTCCAGCACCAGGTATGTCTCTTGCTTCGCTCACAACCTCGTTCCCCAACACACAGATGCCACGTGCACCCAAGGACCACCCTGCGCCTCACCCAGCTCACAGCAGCGCAGCTCGGCTATGGCTGCCTGCTCCTTCCTGCTCGCCCGTGAGCGCGTGAGTGCCAGCCAGCCTCAGCGCAGCATGCAGCCAGCACCCGAATGCCCAATGCGGAGGCAGGCCCTTTGCTATATGGAAGTGGCCTGCCTGCTTGCTGTCCCAGGCTGCGCTGGGCCTTTCCCAAGAAGCTTCCGGTAGGCCCCGGTAGGCTGAGGCCCAGTCCACACAACTCAGGCTCTGGGCCTGTAGTGGTTGCTCGCGCCCAACTGTCAACGGCCTGTGTTAGGCCCACATCCTGTATCCAGCCCAGGGCCTGCCTTCGATACATTCAAACAGGATGCCCAGGGTGTGGGTTCGTCCAACCAACTGGCGCTGCGCAACTGCCTGAATTTCCTTGAGTTGCGTGGTGACCGAAATAGGGGCCCTCAGGCCCTCGTCGTGCCTGCCTTCACTTAGGGCGGCCGACGTGACTTGGCAGGGCCTGAAAGGGGCTCATATAGGGGCATAAGCCTCGCAAATTATATTGAATTATATTAAATTATATGTAATTATATTAATAATGTGAGGGAGTATCCCCGAAAGGGCCTAAACAAAAAGAAAGGCAGGGCCTGAAAAGAGATGCGTATCCCTCTGATCCTGTTTATGGAACCATGATTAAGCTAGTGCAAGAAAAGCCAGCAGAGTTTCCCGATCATAAAGTAACTCAGGGTCTATTGTTTGAAC